AGTGAATTTAAAGTTTCTTAGACTGCATGCCATCACAACTCTGGTTAAATGAATGAGAAAATGTCTCTTATGTTTAATTTTGCCAAAGAACCACTTAAAAGGCATAGTTTTCTACTATTTATGGCATACATAAATAAAATTTAAATAATTCATTTTTTTAATTCTTTGAGGGCACATTCCTTTATTTAGTAATATATTTACTTTCTTTGCATTTCTACTGAGTCTATAATGTGTGCCAGGTCCTGTGCTAGGGTGGCAAATATATATAATGTGGAATTCATGGCTTTGTGTGAGTCAAAAATCAAATGAATATGCAAAGAGATCAAAGGGTAACTATAAATTGCAGCCAGTCATCTGAAGGAAAGGCATGTTTTGGTTAGTTTACCATCACTGTGACAAAATACCTGAGAAAAATCAACTTATAGGAGGAAAGATTTATTTTAGTCGCATGGTTTCAGAGGTTTCAGGCCATGTTTGGCTGGCTCCATTGCTCTCAGTTCTGTGCTGAGGCTGAACATCATGGCGGGAGCACATAGAGGAACAGAGCTGCTCACCTCAGGGGCTGGAATCAAAATATACCCTTCAAAGGCACACTGCCAGTGACCTGCTTCCTCCAAACAGGGCTCCTGTCCTCGAGTTTCCACCGTCTCCCAGTCCCCTGTTAACCTAGGAAGCCATCAGTGGGTGTCAGTGGGGTAATCCACCGATGAGAGCAAAGCCCTCATGATCCCCTCTCCTCCCCAAAGTGCCACCTCTGAACGCTGCTGTGGACCTTCAACACAGGAGGTTTGGGGGACAGTCCTGTGTGAACCATGACAGGTGCTAAGAGGATAAGAAGGGCTATTGAGTGTGGGACTTGAAGGACTAGGGACAGCCACATGAAGAGCAGGGTAGGAAGACCAGCAGGGTGGCTATCCTGGGGTGGGAATGAGGTTGGTGTGTTCTAGAAGCAGAAAGGGGCCAGGGGATGGACAGAGACGGAATAGGGTGGTCCTGGGTGTGCTTACAGAGAGGCTCAGGAGTCAAGTCACAAAGGCTTTTGGTTTCCTTGCTCAAGGGACAGTGGCAATAAACAGCGAGCCCCTTGAGGGCAGGAATCCTGTGCATTCTGTTCACTCCTCGGTCCCTCGGGCCTCATCTAGTTCCGGAACATACTAGACGCCCTGAGCACATGTGGTGAGAACAAAGAACTCAGAGGAGAAACCTGTGTGGACGTCTTGAGCATCTGCTATGCTGGGTGCCTTGAAAAATCTCATTTAACCACCCAATTATTCCACGAGGAAGATATTATAGTCATTTATACAAGCAAACACGGGGGACCCAGAGAGGTGAGGAAACGTCCCAGAGATGGGGAACCATTAAGCAGCAGAGCCAGGATTTCAGTATGAGTCTCTGCTTCTTCACGAGGAAAATGGCAGTGCTCCCAGTCAGGAGCGCAGAGCAAGATCTCGTGTCTAGTGCTCTGCCGAGCAGTGCCCCCCAGGCCGACTGCTGGCTCCATTCGTACCCCAGGCCCCCCTCTGCACGGCCAGGATCCTTCCTGCCCTGCTGTCTCGTTGGATGACTTTGGAGAACAAACAGGAGAACCCAGGAGAACACTTCTGGATCCAGTGGCGATTCCTGAAATCTGTTGGGGCTTGGTCATTTGTGGGTATCTCATTCAAGTGAGTTTGTTTTCAGTGTGCCAGGAGGGGAGCGGAATCTGAAAGGGTTTTCCATCTCTTAGGAAATAGTTTTACTTTTACTTAACTTCTGAAAGTCTGTTATGACACAAACCCAACTGACTCACTTGGCCAGCTCTGAAGGATTCGGATCAACCTCTGACTCGGACACAAATCCCACCTTCAGACATCCTTTCAGACCCAGTCTCAGAATCTCTGGCACGTCTTGGGTGACGACGGAAGGCCCTACCTTCCACAAAGGACAGAAGAGGTGACGAAACCTGGGCTCTCGCTGTGGTTGGAGCCCAAGTCAAATCCCAGCCTGAGGTTTGGAAGCAGGTGCACAGGGAGAGAGAGGCAGTCATCTCGGTGCATGTGAACCCAGGCAGGATGGCCCGCTGCCTGCGTGACTCACCCTCTCCAGCCACCCCCACGCCTGTGGGAAGCTGGTCTAGGAGCGGGATGTGGTTTATCTGGCTGCATAACAGGCAAAACAGAGAACTGTCCCAAACCAGCACCTCTGGGACTAGGCAGGTCTACCTGAAGGACCCCTTTGCTCGTGGTGAGAAGTGTGTTTCTTTGTTTCCTTTAGAAGCTCTGGTGGCTGAGGAGCAAAGAACGACAGACCACATCTGCTGATAATCTGGTCAAGACACCAGAATAGATCCAGAAGACAAAACAGACATGTCAGCCAGATGGAGGATTTGGAGTGGTTATTTCAAACTTTGGTGGATACAATGTTACTGTGAAACTGATTCACAGGAAGCCTCCTCAGCCCTGGCCCTTGAGTTTCTGATTCAGTAAGTGGTTCTGCATCAGGTACTTGCCATCACTCCTTGGAAGTATTTCCTGGTCACCATCTGCCTGGAATAGACTTATTTACCACTGAATCAGAGCACTTTGGGAGTCTCTGACTTGGGGTGAGCAGGACACAAGGGGACAACCAAGAGCATCATCATACAAGTGATCCAATCAGCCACGAGGTGGCAGATGCAGGCAAAGCCCTTATCTTGACATGTATGTCCTTATGGTGATCCCCTGGATTACCTATAAATAACTTTCTTTTTTCATTCTGGAGTAGAAAAAAATATTTTGTCACCTCTTTTCTTTCTCCTTCTTCCTATGATTTAGATCCGAGGTAGTAAATAGCTACTATGCAAAATGGAACCTCTCTGGATCTCTTTCTATTCTGGCATTTGGGTCCTGGTCTGTCAGACACAGCCAGAAGGATAGGGGCTGCATGTATCAGGGATTTCTTGGTTTCAGGTATTCCTCCTTTGAAAGTCCCAAAGAAATTCTCTGAGACAGCAGAATCATCTGTCTTAGGAAAGGCTAGGTTGTTAAAAAAAAAATTATCAAATTAACCATGAAATTTCAATGTTTAACTTCACAAAGATTCTCAATCCCAGTTAATGAGGACTCCATCCCACACTGTCACTCAGGGACCCAGGCTGATAGA